ACTGCCCGGATTCTTCCTTTACAGACCAAAAGCTGGTGTATGTCACGAACAGACGGGAAAGTAGGTCCAGTCTTCTTAGGCTTCGTCATGGCTAAATCACTGTGTAACAGGAGCTCCTGGCAAGGCCGATTTTGTTATTAACTCGTGCGCCTTGTGAGGTATGGGAGGCAGGCCTCCAAGGATGATGTTTGCTTTTTTTATTTTTTATTTTGTTAATGTTTACTTATTTATTTATTTTTATTTTCGAGAGAGAGAGAGAAAAAGAGAGACCGAGTGCGAGCAGGGGAGGGGCAGAGAGAGAGGGAGACACAGAATCCAAAGCAGGCTCCAGGCTCCGAGCTGTCAGCACAGAGCCCGACACGGGCCTTGAACTCCGGAACCGTGAGACCTTGACCTGAGCTGAAGTCGGACACTTAACCGACTGGGCCACCCAGGCGCCCCAAAGGATGATGTTCGGAGCCTCACCTGTGTTCTGAGGGAGCACACCTCCTGCATTGGGCTCTCTGTTTTGCTGTGAATGTGCAAAATACTTTAATGCTAAAAACCCGGTATCGTAAAATGGAAAATTGCACATGGAGGAATGAGTCCAGTTGAGATCCTAGATCCATAAATTTAGTCTCCTGACAGCTAGATTGTGCTTTCCGGAGTTCAGGGGGATATAAAAGTCAACACCTTTATGTAGATCTACGTGGAGTACAGTTGAATTGCAGCTGTTTTTGGAGCTATAACTTTGAATTACTTGGTTTTGTTATAAAAACGAGTTTACAGCAACATGGGTGTTGGCTTGTTTGGAAAACAGGGCAGAGGAAAGCAGGGGAACGCAAAGGGGTTTGGAACACGGTGAACATCCTTCGCTTGACCTCTCCGGTGGTCTCACGGGGAGGAGGGGGGGGTAGTTTTTTACCAGGTTGGCACCGCCCCCCCAGCTTGCGGGCGTCTATGGTTGACAGGCCCATGGACACAGGGCTCCCCCTTGGGGTCACTGGCAACGCTGGGCCTGGAGGGGGGCCAGATTCCAACAGACGTTTATTTAAACTCTTACCTATTCAGCAACTGTCTCGTGGGAGGGGGTAAACTGATGTTGTATCAAGAAAAACTGTCTGCGTCTCCAATTTCAAAAGAGGAAATTTATTACATGAAGTCATTACGTGAGATTTGCCAAGTCAGAAAACTACTTGGAGGCATACCACGTGATTTCAAATTGAGATCGCAGAATCAATCACTCGTTTCCCGGTGAGTAGCGCTTTGCATACAAAGCGGGGTTGCAGACTTGATAGGTCTCTCTGCCTGTTGGTCTTGGAGTTGGTAGAAGGGTGGGGAGTTGGGTCCCACCGCATAATTCCCGTGTACCTGCGAGACGTACTTCACAGAGATGCGTTCCCACCAGCTGGAGAGGGCAAGCCAAGTTAATTTACTTGTGTTTCCACTTTTAGGGCTCTTTCTGGAATGCCCAGTAGAGAGTTGCTTTTGTTCACTGTCTCTTCATCTGCCTGCACAGGGTTTCTCCCCTTGGTACCGGTGACCTTCTGGGCTAAATAAGTGTTTGTTCTGGGGACCGTCTTGTGCCTTGTAGGGTCCTGCCACCACACTACAGTAGTGCCAGAGATGTTTCCAGGCATTATCAGATGTCCCTGAAGAGAGGATGGTCTGTGTTGACAACTCTTTTCTTAGGAAAAGGAAGGAGCTTGGGCTGTTAACAACTGCAATTCAGCCGCACTCCACATAGATCTACATAAAGGTGTCGACTTTTATATCCCCTTGAACTCCGACCCCCCCCAGAAGACCTTTGTCTGCAGGAGTGGGATTTAAGTAAATAGTTCCCCAAACATGAAATTTCTAGCCGGTTGGCCAAAGTCAAAGTTTTTAAAGCGGTTTAATTCCATCAAGATGTCTTTGATGATTTTCGCTGAGATGAGGCATCAGACACCCAGAAATAGTTACTGGGGATTGGGGGGGGGGGCGGGGTCTTTTAAATTAGCAAATCAAGAAAGGTTCCAGAAGGGTTCTGTGACTTTTTTAGGAAATGCATTTCTCTTCTTTTTTTTTTTTTTTTTCCTTCTTATATTTAGTTTTGAGAGAGAGACAGAGCACGAGTGAGGGAGGGGCAGAGAGAGAGAGGGAGACCCAGAATCCCAAGCAGGCTCCAGGCTCTGAGCTGTGAACACAGAGCCCGGCGTGGGCCTCGAACTCATGAACCGCGAGATCTTGAGCTGAGCCGAAGTCGGACGCTTCACCGGCTGAGCCACCCCGGCGCCCCTCAGGAAATGTGTTTCTGAGGCGGGTTCAGCATGTTTGTGGTTCTCATGGGCCTGGCTCCTGGGGAAGCCTGGTGAGTGCTTGTTGTGGTGTCTCTTCACGAGCAGAGTGCATGCTATTGAAGGTGCCGGCTGGGCCCTGTGGGCAGCAGATGGCAGTAAACGGGCAGGAGGGCATATCCTGTCCTCAGGATCTCCTCTGGGCAGGCGACGCGGGGGGACAGTGGGAACGAGGTGAACACGTGTTGAAATCCAACTGTCGGGAGTGGATTATGGTCCTTGGAGCGGTGGTTTTCAAGCTGTACTCTTAGCAGCTGACGTTACTTGTTTTGCAAACAATATGCGCAGAAACCCAATATAAGTAAAATGGATCAGAGCCAAGTTTGAGGCCAAGGGCGCAAGAAGGGGGCCCAGGGTCCCTTATCCCTCGCCTCACCTCACCTTCCCTCATTTCTGAGAACACGCCTTGCGTTACTCGTCTGACTGAAAGGCTAGTGCTTGGTTGGATAGTGATCTTTTTTTTTTTTCCCCCCGACTGGATCTATTATCTTTTTTTCTAGTAAAAGTAATTTTCAAAACCATAAACCCAGATGAAGATAATAATGATGTTCCATTGCTGTTTAATTTTTCTCTCAACATGGAGGCAGATTCAGGGGCTGAGAACATAACACACGTACATACACGTGTATATGTATATATATTCATTTGAAGTATTTTGATATTCTATTATGAAAAACTTAAATATATAGAAAAATAGAGGGCGTCTGGGTAGTTTAGGCAGTTGAGTGTCCGACTTCGGCTCAGGTCATGATCTCACGGTTCATGAGTTTGATCCCCACATCCGGCTCACTGCTGTCAGCCCAGAGCCGGGTTCGGATCTTCTGTCCCCCTCTTTCAGCCCCTCCCTTGCTTCCACTCTCCCCTAATTAATTAATTAATAGAGAAAAGAGAACTCTGTTTCCCTCAGTGTAACAGTTGCCATTATCTTGGTCACATTTGCTTTATGTCTTTCCTTAAACTAATGGATAAGAATTTTAAAAGACGTTCACAATAACAAGGTCTGGGAATATTTTTACCCAGTTCCCCCACCCCCCACCCGCCCCCTGCCCCAGTTCATCTTGTGGACCATTGTGATTTGAATTTAATTTGTGAAACCTACATGAGGGATACAAATTTGATTCAGCACGCAAGCGTTCTTGGCGTCTGTGTAGTTTATTTTTCATTCAACAGTGCTTTGGGGATGCCTCAACCTGAGCAAAATGAAACGTACTAGAACATTGCTCCTGCCCTGGGTTTTGTTAGGAAATGGGAGTTCTTAGGTGGCTTGTCTGGAAAACTGAGGAAAATGGGTTGTGTGTGCCACGCCTGCAAGGTCTGGGGTGGGCAGGTGGCGGGGTGGACAAAAGATAATAAAATATCAGATGAATTTGGAGGTTTGGGGGAACAAGCCCTCCCATAGTGTGCCGGTCCCATTCTGGAGTTGGCAGAGTGCTTTGTGCATGATGTCCCTGCAGACCTGGTGTCCTAGGGCCTCGGGACTGTATTGTGTGGGTCACAGCCTTGGCATGGCATGGGGCCAGCCCACCAGGGGACAGCTCTAGTGTGAGCAAAGCCGTTACACCAGTGGGTTATTCACTACCTGCCTTGCAACTGGGAGTGGAAGAGTGATCAGAGTTGAATTCCTTGTTTTCTCAGAGTTTACTGTGCTATTTTAGCACATAAAAGGACCCAGGAATCTTACATGAGAAAAAATAGCCCATTGGGGGTCCCGGGAGATTAGCTGACACCTTGCCAGGTTCCTGTCACACTGGCCCTCCCATCCTGAGTTTTCAACTCTCTCTTCATTCATTCATTCATTCATTCAAAGAAAGATGGAGTTATATGCACTTTTGATAGAAGTATGCCTTGTTTCAGTAGTCCATCCCAAATGGAACGATTTGGCCCTACCCTGCATTCATTTCTATGTTAGCTATTTTCTTGAAGTTCAAGAGCACTAGAAAAGAAACAATGTGGTATAGTGTAAGGGTTTTAAGCTTACTTGAATTTATCAACGTAGGGCTTGGTTAATCAGTAACTTATTTTTAAAGATTCTGTAGCAAATGTGTTCTCAGGGCAGAAAACAGATTTTTGGAACCTTGGATTTAGGCTTGGAAATACAAGCCAGGTGATTTCTCACTAAGTTTAATTTCTAATAATGATTTTAATGGGTCTTCCTAAACCAGGCAACAGCCTGAGTCACGGAATATAAATGAGTCTGAAGGAGCTTCCAGGTCCCAGTTATACGTAGAAACACAAGATTTGTTTTCAAATGAGCGTCCTACTGAAGCAGGCAGATATTCGTCTTGAATTCTGTGATTGCTTTTAAAATGAACTATGTTCACGAATTAGCATCACGATTCCCAAAATACGTGCTGACAAAAATGGTGATACCCAATTTCATACAATGTAACTCATCTGTTACTTGCATGGATGGGGGGGGGAGAGGTGTGCAGAAAACTTTCAGTTTCTTTTCATTAAACTGACCCTGGGAAAGGTAGGGGTGGCGTTTCAGCAACTCCTTTCTTTCCAGAATGAATTGCTTCTTCCCTCACTTTATGAATTGGTAGAAAATATGTAAGTTGGTGAATATTTTTGCGGTGTGATCGCTTTTCAAAATTGAATCGCGAGGCCAATGCATCTGTTGATACTGATGTGAGGGGGAATGTTTACAATGGCCTGTGACTGATTTTTCCTCCTCTTTGGCAGGAAATAACTACATGTTTGCCAGATTACTACAAGTGGACTCAGTACCTCTTTATTAAACTCTATGAGGCTGGACTGGCCTATCAAAAGGAGGTAAGTTAAAGATAGCTGCATTTTATTTTATTTTATTTTATTTTATTTTATTTTATTTTAATTAATTTTAATTTTATTATTTATTTATTGTGAAAAAGAGAGCATAAGTGAGTAAGGAGGGACAGAGAGAGAGAATCCCAGGAGGGACAGAGAGAGAGAGAGAGAAAGAGAGAGAAACAGGGCTTGTGTTTTACCCAAAGTGGGGCTTGTGCTCTACCCGACGTGGGACTCGAACTCACGAATTATGAGGTCGTGACCTGAGCCGAAGTCAGTGCTTAACGACTGAGCCACCCAGGCATCCAAAGTTACCTGCATTAAAGAATTTTTTTATCTCCTCAGTCTTACTAGAGCACATCGTTGTTAATTAACATACAGACCCTGTTTGCACAGGAGCAATGAAAATGAGCACTGCCTCAAGTTCATGGAATCATTTTTAGCAGACCCAGAGAGTAACTACTGCCTGGCTTAGCATGGTGCCTCCAGAACGGGGCTGGGGCTTCTTAATTCTACCACAGAGTATCTGGTGCCGATAATGATATCATGCAGGGAGCATAGGAAGAGCGGAAGTTTCTCTACTCTTAGCTCAGCTAGGAGTGCCGGCTGGGCGACCTCACTCCAGGAATTGTGGTTTGTCATCTGCTAAAAGGGGTGATAGCATCTCCCTCACATGGCCTTGGGAAGATCAGAGGTGCTGTTGATTTTTTTAAATTTTTAAAAAATTTTTTTAACGTTTATTTATTTTTGAGACAGAGAGAGACAGAGCATGAACGGGGGAGGGGCAGAGAGAGAGGGAGACACAGAATCGGAAGCAGGCTCCAGGCTCTGAGCCATCAGCCCAGAGCCCGATGCGGGGCTCGAACTCACGGACCGCGAGATCGTGACCTGAGCCGAAGTCGGACGCCTAACCCACTGAGCCACCCAGGCGCCCCCAGAGGTTCTGTTTAAAGAACAGCTATCATAGTGCCTGTACATCGTGGTCTCCCAAGAAACGGAGGGGCTTTTACTGCAGGGGCTCAGTAATGGTGGATAAGCCTCAGATGGTGAGAGAGAGGGAAACGCTGCCATAGTGTGGCTGGGTGCTGTACTCTCCAGTATAGTAGTTGCTAGCAGCGTGTGGTTGTTGATACTTAAAGTAATTCAGATGGAATAATATTAATAACGGTCCTCAGTCACCAGCCACGTTCATGCGCTAGTAAGCTAGTATTGGACAGCACAGACACGGAACATTTCCATCAAAACAGAATGACCTACCAGCTGCACCGGTCTAGCCAATTCAGGAGTAACAAGTAGAAAATCCATTGTCCCTTTACGCTTGAGTCCTTCTCCTCTGACCAGAGGGATTTCATGACATAGAATCACATTTGCTTTTCTGCGGTCACATCACACAGCTGGGTCTTGCGGTGAACAGAACTTACGTAAGTATTCTGTTTGAAGTTGAACAGTTTTTAGGGTCGGTAGGGAGACCAACGCAGAAGCCTCGTGGTGAAGTTCAGAATAAAACCAAAATGCCGTAAACCTCGACATCAACATCGTATGGCTGACGAAAATCAGGAGGTGAAACTGGGGAAGAGAAGTAGAAGCCAGCGTGAGGTGGTCCCTTTATGGTTCATAACAAGGAGGCATAGATCAGGAACTAGAGCTGTACGTCTATTTTCTTATAGTTAGAAAGGTAGCTATGAAAGGTCAAGGTAGCAAAGACCCAAGAATGAGAAGAGGCGTTGGGGGTGGGAGGAGGGCCGAATGACCATGCGGAGTATCTTGTTTCATGGGTCAATAGAACCGTCTAAAGATAATCTGTCAAAACCGAAGTGTAGTTTTATTAAAGTTACGATGGTAAACACCAGAAGAACTAACTGCGTGGAAGCTGCTCAAAGCGGGGGAATATTTTAATACCCGTTTAAGATCATTACGAATGTTCTTTTTTGATACTCCGCCCAAACTCAACAAGCATTGGTTTCTTAAAGGTGAGTTGCGGTGTTAAATCTGAAACATCAGTGAACTTTTGTCCTCTTCCATTATGATGCATCCGTCTGTCCTGCACGCTGGGTGGATTTTATTTTTTTACCCACACATACTCTTGTAACATCACACATTGGTCACTTGGAAAACACCGGTAGGTGTAGTGAGTGACGTAGATCTTCCAAATGTTGACATATTTCACCCCCGGGAATATCATCAGAAGAGTTTTTAAGTGGTAGGAAGCTGTGAAGTTCATGGTGGCCGGATACAAGTTTTCTAAAATTCTGGTTTTCACTTCATAGTTCAGATTGTATCATTGGCAGCAGAAACCATCCGTGGTTTTCCTGGAGCAACAGGCTTGCTTTGTTTAATTTTGAGAAAACGTTTGTCAGACTCCTACGTGTCAATAACCATAGTTTATCGTTAGTCATTCTTTCACATGGAAACACAAGTTATTGAAAAAACTGGCTACTCCTTCCTGTTCACCACTCAGACAGTTGTGGCTGTGCTTTTTCCCCGAGACAACTGTCACTTTGTGTGGCCGCACTTCTTATGCCTGCGTCCCATTGCGTCGCAGAAAATACCAAGAGGACGTGTGTTCAAGTGTTAAAATGTAAGAATGTGAATACAGGGGGGCACCTGGGTGGCTCAGGCGGTTGGGCGTCCGACTTCGGCTCGGGTCATGATCTCACAGTTCATGAGTTCGAGCCCCGCGTTGGGCTCTGTGCTGACAGCTCAGAGCCGGGAGTCTGCTTCGGATTCTGCGTCTCCCTCTCTCTCTGCCGCTCCCCTGCTCATGCTCTGTCTCCATCTCAAAAATAAACATTTAAAAATTAAAAACAAAAAGAATGTGAATACGTTTTATGGCTTTGTCAAGCACAGTGTTAGTGAAACCGACTTTCCCCCCTTTCTGCTGAGTGCACAGTAGGGAAGGATCCAGTGACTGCTGGCAGAGTCTGGTGCCACCACCTTGATTCATGCTGAGGGCCGAAGGTCTCAGCCACCATCACGCTTGCACCAGTGTTGCAGATGTGAACACAAGGAGAAAGGCAAACAGGGTCTTATTATTGTAACGAAAAGAGTTTTGATCTGCAGATCCCTGGCAAAGGGCCACAGGGACCCCCAGAGGTCACACTTGGAGAACCATTGTACAAAGGAGGCAGCCCCTACCCCGGCTCTCATCTTTAAGTTAAGAATATTAAAATGTTGATTATTTTAAAATACTATGTTGTTGAATAGATTGTACTTTTTCGGAGAAAGTGTTGAGTCCCCATTAACATTTGGGATGCATTGACTGAGAATTTTGTGCTACTGGGCCATCCTGATGTTCAACCACTGTGGACTCTCCTGGGTCAATTTAATTTCTTTTAAAGTAAAGACTTAAGAAAAGTTGTTAATGTTTATTTATTTTAGAAAGATAGTGGTTTTGTTGCTGGTTGTGGACTGAAAGGCTTTTGGTGTATTGATTTTTTGTGTGTCCACTAAATTGTCATGATCTTAAGAAAAAATCATAAATAGAATACAAAAAACGCACACTTGCTGTATTGTTTGAAGATCAGTGTTAGCCCCAATCCAGGGTATTATTCCATGGGTCTCCTTTTATTGGAAAGCTATTTTCAAATTGGCTTTAACACCTAAGACATCTTGGTGTCCGTTGGCGTTCCATTCCTAGGGTTTATTTCAAAATACAAGCTTTTGAAATTAACATCAGAAAGCTAATTGACTTTAGAAAGCCTGCACATAGCATACTCTGTAAAGCATATTTAGCCAAAAACAACCCGCATATTAATACCTTTCCTCTGATGGCATTGTTGTAACTTTTTTTGAAATAGGAAATAGCCTTAACCCTTAAAGACAGTTCTGCTTAGAAGCTGCACAAATGAACTTAGATTTAGGGAAAGCGTTTCAGCAGAGCATTACTAAACATAACTGGAGTGTTGCAGTCTTTTGTTCTTGACTCACCCCATCCATCAAAATGCTCATTTCCTTTGCAAAAGGAATCTCTTCTTGCTCTTGCCAAACAAAAATATTTCCAGCCAAAAATAGGAATATAAAGACCTCCGCTTGGCAGAACGTGAGTTTCACCTCTCTGGTTTAAAAAAAAAAAAAAAAAAAAATGTGGTGGATGCAGTTAGCGGGGAGGGTGCTGTATTATGCTTGGGCATTCTGGGGAATTATGGAGGCCACCTAATCTGTGGGTTTGTCTTTGGCCTCCTCCGTGATTTCGGAGGCGGCTGGTGACAGTGCTGATGGCACCCACCTGCGCTGGGTTTGCCGTGTGGCCTCGTGGTGGGGGAGCTACTGAAGGAAACACTGTACCAACAGGCAGCCTGTCCCGCTCTGCCCCCTCGTGGCTTTGGAAGGTGGTGACGGTAAATAACCGGTAGCCTTAGAAACCGTCCTCTCCGGACTCTGTCCAAGCCCAGGCCCCTCCTGGATGGAATGGAGCGAGATGGATTTTGAGAGTTCAACCTTTTCATGCGATCTAGGTGGCGTTCCTTAATTACACATCGTTTTGTCAGGAAAAAAGCTAATGGACCTTAGAAAATCAATACCCTAAAACATCCTTCTGGAGCCTGAAGCTGCCTGAGAGCACACTCAGGAAAGGTTTTTGGGTAGTATAAAAGCAGAGCCCGAGGAGAAAGAAGCAAGGGGAATGGTGGAGAGTGGCCAAGCGCCCGAGGAGTGATGTGTGGGTCAGGAGACGGAAGGGTGCTAATGGAGGATGTGATCTAGAAGGGACTGGCACCCTGTGTGAAGGGTAAGACCCAGGAGGGGCAAAGGGAAGGAGCATCCTAGTAAAGGGAAGGAGGAGATTAGAAAGCAGGAGGTTTGGAACAGGAGGCACATTGGGGCGGCAGGTATCACGCAGCTGCCGTGCCATAGAGAGGAGACGTGATACATGAGAATTCGAGGAGAAAGTGCCCCAAGAATCTCCCACGGAGCCCGTCGTTGCCCACACCTCTGAGAACCCAGGGGCCAAGAAGGGGAGGTGGGAGGAGGCAAAAATGATGGGACACCCACTGTTATTGCCCAGAATC